CAACGGGTATACGCCCAATATACAGACACAATATAAAATAATATATGTAAGCAAATAATCGCAGATTTATGAGCATGATACATCTATGATGTCGCACCACTCTATATAAATGATTTTTAAACGTGTATATAGATCTCAAGAAGAAATCAATACTGTCACATATAAGTTAAAAGGTGCAGCAATATGATTAATGAGGTCTTGTCATATTTGGTTTTGTAATTTAAACAGTAGAAAGATGTTTTCCTTAAATTTTGTGGTTTTGTGTATAAAGATTAATATTGCTTAATAGAGATGGACAGTTGATATGTCTATTAACTAGTTTAAACAAAAGATGAGACCTGTAATCTTTTTACGTTCAGTTAATATTTCCAAATTTAGTGCGCTAAGGAATGGTGTGTAACTTATAGACTGAAAATTTAAGAAATTTATGTTGCACCTTTTTAATCATAGTTTCATATTTGGAACACATTGCAGACCACATCTTGGTCCAAAGGAGGGCGCATAAGAGTAACATAAAGCAATTTGATTGTATGAATACATTGAAAATCGGATGCGACACATAATACAAACCTAAGCACTTACAGGTTGACCAAGCAAACCTGAAGTTTGTAATGCGAATGCCTGTCCAAATGAGTGGGAAACAGGCGGGCGCGCCATCCCCACTATTCTGCGGTCGTAGGCTGTCTTTGCTTGCGGAGAAATTTTGGTGTAAATAAATAAGTGGTTTTTAACCAGCCGTCGGTAATGTCGCGCGCTAATAAAAGAATAGAAAAGTGAAAAGATTATCTGCTCGCCTTGTCTTTCTACCTGGGCGACGCATAAAACCACAGACGACGTACAGGATAGACCTTGCATCTTATGGGACCGGGGCTTTGGGGCCGAGAAGACCCTTACCGTTTTCCGAAATGAAACGTTTTACCATCTTTGATGGTTGAATTGTACGTAATTCCTAAATTCACTGCTTTATATCATAGAAGGCATAACAAAAACTCTGATTTTTTACGCGACCGGTATTTCAGAACGTTGGACACAAAAATACATTAGGTGCAAGGTCTATCCTGTACCTTGTCTGTGCCATTACGTCGACTGTGGTTTTGTTATTTCTGTGATATAACATTTCATACATTTAGTTTTAATTCCGACCGCTACTAGTGTTGCAATCTTATTCGATGTTAAATCGGTAACGTTGGAAATTACATGAAAATGATAATCGGGCTCCAAAGCCCCAAAACCGTGTGATAAAAGAATACCTTACTTAAATTAATTGTTACTTTTTATTTTCTCTGATTTACAATAAATTTTCACTTACAGCTCATTTAACAGTCTTTAATACATATCTGTCTAATGAAAAGTTGCATATAAATTATCATGAATGCCTTGGGCTCATACCTTACAAACTATATAATTTTTTTTACACATTTTTTATTTTATGTTACTTATTTCATGCATTAATATTTAGTATACACGTTGCAGTAGATTGAAAATTTTTCGTTTTCACTTGAAAATAGTAGTTAAATAACATATCATGCAGTAAATCTATTTTGAAAGCAGCGAGTGTGAACATCTCTTGAATTTAAAATTCAAAACATTCTATTCTAGAACATACCTAAATACACATTGCTTCTAGAGGAGGCCACGCTATTGATGCAGCATTTTTCTATGTACTAAATACACTTTATAATTACTGTATTTTAAAATAATACATGTATATATTGCTATTACTACTGATAGAATATTAAAAAATCGATCGGATATTATATCGGTACAAAAATTATTTACAAGTAAAAGAATAAAGTAAGTTTTTGAACACTTTGTGCCAGAAAAAAAAGTAATTTGAACGAAAAGTAACTTATATATTTGCAACAAATTGATTTTCACAAAATACATGTATATGTATGATTAGTGTATTTTTAACAATATCTGCATGTAATAGATAGCTTAAAAATTTAGTTGTATTGTTTTAAATAAATAAAAGAAATTCTATGTACCATACATATAAGTATATTGAATTAAACAAAGCAATTACTATAAATATAAATGTAAACAATATATTATCATTACTCAATTGATATAGTACCATATTAGCATATTTTTCTACTTTCTCTTTTTTTACTATGAACTGATATAGCTACATGTGAGAATATGTTATTATGTTAATAATAAGAACTTGACATTGGAAGAAATGGTTTGATGCGCAATGAGAATATCAAGAAATTAATATTTCTATTAACAATTGTACTGTGCTATAAATCATGTCTAGTTATAATGGATCGTTTTGAGTCTATAAAGCTTTGTTTAATATTGTTACATTTGTACCATCTAAAAGTGTTTCACATTAAATTGCAAATTAACTATTGTTAAAAATATGTTGCAACAACTGGGTATATACTATGTGCCCAGTTATTCATATGCATAAAAATGTCATTAATAAAGTGTTACGCTAGAAAATTATGTTACTGTTGACATATTATTATTCATAAATATTGTGACTATTGAGTACATAGAAGAATTGACAGAGAATGTTCACCTCTACCAAAATTTTCAATAAATTTTTCTTTTACAATAGCATACAATTTGATTTGTAAATATATTCTCAAGAAGTCTAAATTATATATTTTCATTAATGACTGTACAAGCACTGTACTGAATAGTATAGTTAAATTTAATCAACCTTGAGCAATGTCTTCATTTTACCTATACTATTTTAAATTGTAACATGCCTTCATAAACTGTCTTTGGTGTACATATGTTCTCGGACTAGAAAATAGTAGTGTCAAGAAGCCTGGAATGTGAAATTCTATTGGAAAACAATAATGTACATTAAATTTAGCGAATTTGGTAAAAGTGCACATTGTTTTGTATGATGTTAATGATCAGAAGTTTTTTTCTTTTCTGTGTTTCTATTATGATAATTACACAGTATGTTAATTGTAGTCATTCATTTAAATTAGATAGTATGCGCAACACAAAATAACATTTGATGTTTAAAATATACATATGTAAAGATAATGATAAAAGTAGAACATTTATAATAGTGTTCATTTTTCTACTGTACTTACTACCTCAAATACAAAATCTAACATTTCTTTATAAAGATGACAGATAAATTATAAATTACTGTTAAAAAATCTATTATAAACGTACAATATTACTTTAATAAACAATAACGGTAATATCTTATTGTCATGAATTTGAAAAAGTCGTGAATTTGAAATAGTTGTGTTTATTCAAATTAAACTATTGAAATAACATTAGTTATAGTCTGTGATTGGCAGTCATGCATTCAATCATAAGAAACAGTGATTTATTTGGAACTTAATTTAAATTACATGTAATACTAGTAACATCACTGCAGTTCCATGTTGACATTAAGTTGAATTTGAATAGAATTGTATCAACAACTTTTTCTCAGACTTTCAGTACATAACAAAAAAATATGTTTTGCAAAATATTAATAATATACAAAATTTAAGAAAAACGATCAGCATAATAATGGTATAATCATTTCATTTGTAATATTAATAATTGCGATCAAGAAAGAATAGCAATTACAATATACTGGCAGTTATGATTGAAAAAAAAATGTAAAAAGGAATATGTATAAATAATGTTTGTTTATTTTAAATAGTTCAAATAAGATAGATTTCATTTTAAGGTTGCTGTCTAAAAATGATATGATTCCTAATCATAGTTGCATTAACTTTTATTCCATACAAAAAGTAAATATTTCTGTACTCCATGCATACAATCGTACATCAGCGATATTTGAGAAAGTAATCCATTGCAATAAATATTATTATCACTATATATAGTTTTCATAACATAATGATATATTAAGAAAATATTACTTGCACTGTTTAAAATTTATCATGTGCGCTATGAATTATATAAATATCAAGTATCATTAAATTTTTCATTTTTTCTGAAAATCAATGCTTTAAATTTGGAAAAAGTATTGTGCTATTGAGTTTCCTTGAACAATTTCTTTAAATTCTAATATAAATTTTATGGAATAATGCCAGAAACCTTTGTATCATCTATTACAGATCATTCAGTT